ATGTTAGGGTCCTCAAAGATGGCATCTAGCGTCATAGTGCTGCTGCGCTGTCAATTGATAGGGCGCCGGTCAAAGGTCGCACAATGTGGCTAGGGAAGTCTCGCCGTTTTCATTGGCCTGTTTTGTATTCGCAACAGCCGAGCTACAAGATGATTAACAGGGGGCAGAACTCCATGGGGGTGGGGAGGGGTAGAGACGCAGATTGGTTGTCATCCCTATTCCCTTTTGCAGCGGCATCACTGCAGCGAACTAGTGCCTACATACATTAATAACATAAAGATTTTCGGAAAATAAGGTGGGGCCTCCAGCTCTTTCCGGGTATGACGTTGTTCAGCATACAATGCCGTCATCCCTTCTGCAATTTTGTATCACTCTCAATTAGCCACTTGCAGCTCGATGTTTTCGATATCGATCGCTGGGGAACCGCAGCAGCTGTCCTGGTTTGGTATTCCCCATTTTCTCCTCCGCTTTTCTTCTCCTCCCGACTTCCGTAACTCTCCTGTTCTAGCTCTTCCAATTCTGCTTTCCTATCTTCATTTTACTTTGTTTTTCCCATTTGTTATTCGCATTTCTTCTTCTTGCACTTTTCGCAGGTTTCCCTTGAGTCCCTTATTTGATGGTTGCTTTTTCGGACCTCAACCTGCCCTCAGGTGTTCTCATCAGTGACCACAATTACTTGCAACCTGGATCATGGGATAAGCTAGTATGAAACGGCAGGACTGTGAAACCGCATGCCATGAGTATCCTATAACGTTAACTCGAGCCATTCTGCCTACCCCTTGTTAACTTCCTGTCTCTGCAAATTCGACAATGTGGCCTCAATGCAATAGCTTTCTTTTTTCGATTTCAGGTCCAAAATGCACCATGCGTACTTCCATGGATTTGCTATTTGGATCTCCGGAAGCTGAAATTATGTCAGAAGTTCCTTCCTTTCTCCAGTCACCCAGAACAGCGTGATGAATCAAGCACGCCAAAATTGTCTGTGTACACAGATGCATAAATTAATTGTAAAATCTGGAGTCGCAAGATATGAGAATTCTTGAGGGTTGTTTTGCATCCACATCATCAGTATATTCTAGTGTATACAAAAAGCGGGGTCACTTGTATCACCTGAGACCACGATCCCCCCACAACCCCAGCTAGGGTAGTTCCGGGGCAGTGGCCAACCACTGCAAACCTCCCCAGCGCCTGCCACCGCTCCTCCGCGCTTGAGCTCATCGCGTGCGCACAACTTTTACTGCAGCGGCTGTTTAAAACTCAAAGTAACATATGCCCCACAAGGTGCCACTTCCCCTCCTCCCCCGTCACGAACCTCTAGACTTGACTACTAGTCGAGAAGCACTTAGCCAATCACAATGCTAAATCCAACATTTTTCCTCATTCTCAAAACCCAATGAGACCCTTGGAGCCAACTTATCTGTCCTTACATTCACGCTAGCAAGTACGGTTTGTGTAAAGCGGGGGATCTCATATTCTCAGACGATGGATCTTCTCTATAATAAGGAATAAGGCTTCAACTACTAATACCGGTACCCACACACGAAACCTAAACATCGCCATTGAACCGAATTGTGCTTCTAGAGGCGAGACAAAGGAGAGTTACGCATTGTTATAGGACAGGAATACCTGCAGCGCTTGAATTTGCGGCTGTGAGGCTTTGGAAATTGTGGAGGTGAATGATCCACGCAAGTACTAAGCCCATGAATAACGGTAATAGCAATCTCTATAATTCACACGGAGAATATATTACAAATATTACTGTTCAAATTGAAGGTACCAGTTATCATGAGACATTACGTTGTATATACTGTATATATATCTGTAGATACCAAATGAGAACAAGCCGATTTACATCCTCAAGTCACCGATCGTACAATCCCCACCATTGTCATCCCAGTCACTAAATGCGACGCCGACGTTCGATCATGCGTCCAAATGCGAACGCCACCAACGGCTAATGCGAAGATTGTAAGAGGTAGAGATTCCAGCCTGCTTTGGCAGTGCCAGGGGTGGACATCGCACTAAGGGAACGATTCCAATGAAGTTTAAATGTCACCATCATGCAAAACATAGCTCCTGCAACATCATTCGAGAAGCCATGCGGGGGCATGTTGCTTAGGTCTCAAACCTAGGCCATGGTTTCGTCGGTCTGAATATGGCCCAATTAGTACTCCATTTGTTCCTTTGGATGTGCAAGGCTCACATGGTAAGAAACCGAAAGGTTGTATCGCATTGTGAGATGGAGATTAACTGGTCAAGGCTTTTTTTTTTTTATTTCATTACTCGCATGCCGCCTATCAGGCTATGGCGAGAGTTTAAGTACATGATGGGTAGGATAAAAAGTAACGGACTAGAATAGAATAGAAGGAAAAATAAAGGAGATTATTCTGCCGCACAGTCTAGAACCTCCGCCAGCCTGTCTCCTTCCCCCTCTGACTTTGTTGGTCAAGGCTTATTATCCTCACATTTAATTGGACAACAAGCCTCCAACATACCTCGCCATAGCCCCCAGGACGGCACCCGAGTAATGATATTTAAAAAAAAAAAAAAAAAGAAAAAAAAAAAGGCCTCCAACATTGTTTTGCAATGTGTTTCTGGCCCTATCCGTATACTTGTGTACATCTTAGCCTACCACACATGATTGTGTTATTTACTAAATAGGCTATCAATATACTACTAGTTGTAGGTTGTCGCTAAGCCTTATGGTCAGCCTTCCGGCAGCGTACGAATATATTTACAATACAGCAGATGCTCACAGCGAATTATATCAACGCGTATTGATGTGCTTCTCAAATTTTGAAAACGATGTACATTCCTAGGCAAAATTGTATTTACTCTCCTTGGAGCCAGAAATGTGACCGCAGCAAATTTCATCCAAGGGAGTCGTGGTCTCGGTCCTCTTCTTTTGGTTATGAAACAACTGGAGTCACAGTGGCTGAATAAAGGCAACAAGTGTCATACTGACTCAGTTTTCCAAGAACATCTGTTGTTCTGCATATAGTTCACAGTAAGCCACATCGTCTCCTAAGGTACACATGCTATTCATCTGATCTTCTTGCAAGCTAGGTGAGTGGAACAACCTCAACAGGCTTCAACCTAAGGACTTGTCTTTATCACATGCCAAAATGTTAATGCATCTCCAGCCTCTTGTCGGTCTAGAATGTTGCATGTTGCGGGGAATGTAAATCTAGGCTATTCGGTAGTAACCCGGCCACCGTAGGCTAACATAAGTCCTAGGTGTACATGTCACGTCCTAGATGTCCTACAACTAAGAACCAACTCTATTAGCCTTGGAACAGGTCGATAGGTGTAAAACGATATACAGAGATCTAGAGGAACAGTTGATTCAATGCTTCCAGGGTGCTGGGTTCAAGCACCCGCCCTATTGACTAGTGACACATGCGAATGTACATGGATCCCTCATGCATAAAAATTGTTAAACTCATCTCCCATACTGAAACCCTAATGGGATGGATATAACTTACTACCAACGTGGCAAAAATGTTCGCTCGCCTACACTTCATTGTATACGAAAGTGGTATGAGGCTTAGCCTTGGTAGTGACTCGGCATGCGCAGATATAGTCTTCTGCGGCGGTGCGTGGCCGCGAAGATAGGGGAAGTAGCGCGATACTGAGCAAGTGGACTTAGAAAGCCGCCTTGTTAGGTCTCGTTTTTGGATCCGCAGTAATGTGCGCCGCTGTAAGGGGTTCTATGCGCGTGCAGGATGCAGGGCAGGAATATAGCCTCCTTCGACTGGCGATGGGCTAGTGCGGAACGGGTAGACATGCTAATTATAATTATACTTGCTGTCCTCTGTACCTTAAACTAGTAATCAACGGATATTCCCCCCACCCCCCCCCCTTTGAACTTATATATCGGCTGTACGGGGGGAGGCTAGAGATACATGAGTACGGTAGCTATGGATATACTAACCTAAAAATGAGGTAAGGCTGCGTTTTGTGTCGCATGGTGCGACGATTGGCAAGAAGCTTGTTTGTTTGCAGGAGTGCTACAGTGCGCACAGCCTTATGTCCATCGACCGAGCCGGGTGGAGCATTTTCTACTTGGGGCTCAGTCGGTGGAGGTCTGCTACAGGCTTCATAGCTACTCCGCCATCAATTGTTGACGATTTGAAGCTGCATAGACACGTGTGTCCAATTAATTTAAGCTTATTTCTATGAACCAACACCAGTTCGTCTGATAATTCAAGTTAGAAGGCTTGAAGCCTGGCGGCATCTGCGATTGTACGCCCTGCCATGGCGAACAGCTGCAAGCGGGGTTATGTGACATTAAAAATAAGAAAGAAAAAATTTGCGGTTGTAGGAACTGGATTCGAGGAGCCACAGTATCCATGAGTGCAAGAAGGCTGTAACTATCGATAGCCATTACTTTGCTCTTATGCGGGGAATTTAGCTATGACAGCCTCGTGAAACCGGAGACTGGTCATGGATGCATGGACGGTGTAAAGATCTCCTGCAGTACAAGCCTAGTACTTATGTGGACTGGTTTACGTTTTTGAGTTTCCGTCCCTTCTGTCCATAGTTACTCTACTTAGCTAGAGCATAATAGTGCGATTTGAATAGCACGCCATTTGTCTGAATTCACAAATCCGCTTCCCAAATCTGAGCTTGCTTTCTAGGCTTCCAGCATTGGTATCTTAAGTAATAATCAGCCTCGGAGCAAGGTTTAGATTGGATGTGCATACTTGCATGAGGCCCTCGGCCGCGCGGTTGCCTAAGAGTTTTGGGCTTGTTTGAAATGCTTTTGGGCCAGACCAAGGAATAGCTTCCGGGGGCTATGCTTACCAGAAGTAATAGCCTGCTAAACCTTTCGAGGAATTTTTTTTTTTTTTTTTCACATCAGTACTCGCGTGCTGCCCTGTGGGCTATGGCGAGGCTTTCTAGGAATGGAATGTATACTAGACTTTAAGATCGTAGGGCAGGTCTTGCTTACCAAGTATGTCGAGGAAGTTCGTCACAATATGGATGTTTGTATGTCCAGTCCTGTGGTCTAGTGGTATGATTTTCGTCTCACATTCAATATCAGCTCAAGTTGAAGTGCACACGAAAGGTCCCGAGTTCGATCCTCGGCGGGACTATCTTTTTGTTGCAGTTCCATCTTGATTGCTTCTCTACAAACACAGTGAGCCGACCGTTCGTGCGGCTGGTGTCGTTGAACCATGGGCGCTAATGAGATCGCCAATTTTCCGTACAGCCAAATCGAAGATGTCTGTGGTGCTCTCTCTCATGAGCCCCCGAAAAAGCGGAGCGACAAAAGCGAAACCCCATAGTTTGAAAGCACTTATTAAGCAAATATTCTGCCAATGAAGGGGCTTTTTTTGGTATCAATGTGCAAAACGATGTGTTCTATCGGTAGCCACCATGTCAGAAGAAAATCTCTATCCAGTGGGCAATGCTTTGCGGACTCATTTCTTTCCCTTGTGAAAGCTCCATATGACTTTTCTCCTTTCAGCTACTATAGGAAAGAACCAAGATTTACAAGGGGCTTTTTAAACTTTTTTTTCCCTCATCAGTTCGCGTATACCGCCTGGCGGGCTATGACGAGAGCAAGTACAAAGAAAACAGTAACAAGGAAGAAAAATCACGAGGTAATTTTGGTCAAAACGCATTTTCTGTCCATATGACATCCATCCATTCTAACCTCAACTGAGAATCTCCGCTCTCATCTTAATACTTGTAGCTTCTCATGTTAACGAGGGGAGAGTTACCCAGCAGCACTGGAAAGAATACCCACAATGAAGACCTAGGTCTTCAATCAAAGCTCATCCTGGAATGAGTTTTCTGAATATAGGCTAATGGACGAGGCATGGAGCCCGCACAATGAACTTAGTCCAGGGGTTACAATCATGCACAGTCAAAGTGAACTTGTTAATCATAGGTAGATTTGGTCAATACTTTGGGGACGACAATAATCTCAAGGCTGTGCGTGTCACGGGCCTACCCAGAAATGCTGGGGATATCCACCTGAGTTGACCCGTAAGGCTGCTAGTGACCATCCGGCCTGATTAACCGATGGCTACAGCAGGGCAATACAATTGACAGGTCGGGTCACGGAAGTGTATCACAAGCACCGCGCATGGTTGAGTGAGTGAGTTGCGCCACCGAGTGGCAAGAGTACGCATAGGCTAATTGTTCACAGCCTCAGTTACCAAGACGTTATTGATTGTTAAGCGTTGATATCGATTGTTAAGCATAGATAGCATAAGCAATAGAACATACAGTGGGCGTGCGCGGGGAGCTGGCTATATAATGAGGGCTTTCTGCCCTCGAGAGATGGTCAAGCTTCAAGCGTTGTCCTAACTTACACCTTCACTTTGCTACATCATCGTAGACTCCGTAACAGTGAACTTGTTGATCATAGGTAGATTTGGTCAATACTTTGGGGACGACAATAACCTCAAGGTTATGCGTGCGATAGCGCACTTTCTAACTTATTCCCTAAGCTAGCAAAGCAGGCCGTGCGGTGATAACGTAGGCCCATATTCGGCAACATTACACGGAGAAGGTACGTACTTGTCAGTTATCTACCTATTTTCCAACGTTTCTCGTTCTGGTCAAGTGTAACTTTACCATAGCGTAGCTTGGCTCAGGCCCACACTGCCAAATATGGGCAATAAAGGGACCAGACTCCAATCTAACGAATAGAGTGATGCTGGAGGCCCTTGACACTGTGAAAAGCACCACTGCCACTCCGACCACGAGACCAGGAAATATACAACTTTTTACCGTCAATTAACCCTGCCAAAAAAGTTGGTAAAGTGCATATTTAAGCGATCTTTAACTGCTTATTCTTTGCAAGAGCCTCCTGGGATGGCGAAATTATATTGACTGCAGCTCGGCATCTTTCATGTTTATGCTTTCCACAAGGCAATCAACTACACCTCTGCATAAATCGGATCCAATTAGCCTTTAGACCTTTCTACTCGCCCCTCTCGCCCGACCTTGACAGCCCTTGCAAACAACATTGCAATTGACCCTCTGTGCACCGCGGCCCCATCAACCTTTCCCCAAGTCAAGCTGTGCTTTCCTATTCCCCCCTTCTCGATCATCTCCTCAGCACGGGGCGCTCAGTGCAGCCCCTCACTGACCATATCTAAGATCATCGCACACGGTCTGGAGTCTTCCTTTTTGTTGCTGTTATTCTATGAGATAGAATCGCGTAACCGAATTACGGCAGTTCACAGGAGGCTCTTACGAAGGAATAAGTACGCACTTTACCAACTTTTGTGTGTCAAAGATACAAGGACTGTGTTCCTCGTTGGGGACTACATACCAGAGACAAACCCTCAATCTCGGAATTTCGGAGCTCTCCAGTAGAGATATCGCACGTTATTCTATCTTCACCGAGCTTGCAACGAGTTATATTATATATAGGCATTGCGCACCGAAGCCTTTGCCTTGTCGCAGGCTTCACTTCCATCGAGTCACTAAAGGCACGGTTTGCGCTTGTTTGAACAGGGTCCGTTACCCTCAAACTAGTGTGCTCGCTGCCAAGATGTGCACCGCAGCCAAATTACCGAACTTTCACAAATAGTTCATTATGTATATCTGAGAAAGCAATTTCGCTTACAGTATTATATTCGAATGAGTAATGCTGCATTCAATGTAGTCTCGTGCCCAGCCGCTACAGTACCATTCAATGGCATTTTAGGGGACCCGGGATCCTCCGAGTATGTACTCGAGTACTAGTACAGTCAGCGACTGCTGATTAAGCAGCCGAGCCTCAACAAATGTCCCCTTGCCGGACCAACCCGAGACATTAGCCTTTATACGCTCGCCCCCACAATTTACTTCCAAGTCAAATTCCTCCTTAGGCTCGATCGCAATCACCACGTTTCAAATTCCCAACTTATCATTCTACCAATCCCACTACACTCACATTCACAACTCTCCAACATTCCGCCTTCATGACCGTCCTCCCCAGGCCCCCCATCCCCATCACTATCCTCACCGGCTTCCTCGGCGCCGGCAAAACTACGCTCCTCCTCAACCTCCTCCCCCAGCTCCCTCCGCCTCCATCCACCCGCCTCTGTCTGCTCAAAAATGAATTCGGGAGCGTCGCTGTCGATTCTAAGCTTCTTTCCACCACCTCCAGTAGCAATGGGGACATGAACAACGGTGCGGGGAGCGGGAATCCGGTCGCTGGAGTGCAAGAGCTTCTCAACGGGTGTATTTGCTGCAATTTAGTCGGCCAGCTCGAGGAGGCACTGAACTTCCTTGTCGCAAACTACGCCCCGACACGTATCGTGATTGAGACGTCCGGATCCGCGTTCCCGGCGACGCTGGCGATGGAGGTGAATCGGTTATCCACCCTGGAGACCTCATCCTCCTCCGGTGTCCCGTCGCCAAAATATTTCCTCGACGGCATCATCTTGGTTATTGACGTCGCCAACTTTTCGGGGTACAAAGATACTAGCTATACTGCGAAACTGCAAGCAGGCTATACCGATTTAGTGGTATTGAACAAATGGGAGGACGTCCCCGGCGGGGAACGCAGAATCGAGGACGTGGTGGATTTGGTGAGGGAAGTGTGCGTGGATGTACCGGTGGTGCGGAGCCGTGGCGGATGGGTCGACAAGGAAGTATTACTCGGCATCGATCGGGAAGCCAGAAAGTTACCCGAGGCGGCAGCCGCGAGCGAGTGTAAAGAGGCTGGATGCGGCAACAATGGCCATTGCCATGGTGTAAAGGGACACGTTGACGAAGTTGACGTCTTATCTGTTTGGCTAGCGACTAACAACGGGACGGGTGGCGCGGGACTAGATTACGACAAGCTCTTGAAACTCCTAACAGCAGCCCCCAAGGACGAAATATACCGTATAAAAGCGCTCTTTCGAAGCAAAAAGACCCCACCTCCACCACCGTTGCCCGGCAGGGCTGCCGTTCAGAAGCAGACACCAGGAAAAATGGACGGGGGTGCGGATCTAGGAGGGTGGTTTATTCTGAATTGGGCGTTTGGGAGATGGACAGTGACGAGGGTGGAAGGAGAGGCAGAGGAGGAAGGGGTGGTGTGCGATATGACGGTTGTATTGGCGCAGGGAGAAGGGAGAAGATGGAAGGGGAAGATCGAGAAGGGAGGATGGGTGGTGGTGGAGGAAGGGAACGGGGTGGGAGAAAGTAGGCTGAGGGTGGAGACTGTGGTGTAGCAGTATTGACATGGAGGTGATGAATAGAAGGGACGTTCATATAAAGGGCGTTCATAGATGGTTTCCGAAATGGGGTTAAAAAGTTATATACTGGGTGGGGATAGAGATAGAACTATAGAAGGAAGTTGATTTGTCTGTTCCTTCTCTTTTTCATTCTACTGTATTTTCCTCTCAATTATTTATTTTTCTCTTAAATTGGGTTGATGGATTTTTCGGAGTTGCGGTTAGATAGCTCCCATTCATATAGAGTTAGTAGAGTACACAGATTTTACGTTGGGGAAAACAATACTCTAGAGTAGATGAAAAAGACTTGGGAGTGCGAACTTTGTCGACTGCGCCTACCACCACACCTCACGAATGCACCTTGTTTCAATTTTTACTTACCCTTATTATTCAAACACGATGGCGCGTTACTTATTTTAGCCACACTGCTACTACCCCATATTCATACTGTGTTTCTCATGTCGTACGTATTACACGTATTATCTATTCAGCTGCCGAAAGCCGCCGCACCACCTCTGATATTCAAAGGAAGGCGAACATCTGGCGATACGCTGACACCGACATGATCAAGATAAACCTCGTCCACTCATATTATAGGAAAACCCATCATATTCCATATCAGATTTTCCGCTTTACCTTGATTGCCGCAACCCGACGGGGACCCATCCACACACCCCTTTGCACATCACCGTTGGACATCACTGTGGTGTGGTGGTCATCCGCCCTTTGTCAATCAATGAGTGGTAGAATCAGATAAATGGTCCATGCAAGGACTGTTCTTATCAGATCCTTTGCTGCATCTTTGCTGCACAACAGCCTTCCTGGATGAGAGGATGAGATAAATTTGTAGGAGGAAATTTATCAGATCCTCTACGGTACCACTCCTTCACTTCGCTCTCCTACAATCGCCAACACAAGACTAATCGCCA